GTGGGGCGGAGTGGGGGCAGGGCAGGGGGTAGACCAGGGGCGGGGCCAGTTTTTGGGCACTCAGTCTCTAAAAGGTTTGCCATCACTGATATATAGGTTCATGTGATCTAGTATGCATATCTGGTTGAAAATTTTGCTCAAAGGAGGAAAGTCCTGCTGCTTTCAAAATTTCATTTTAAAGAAGAGATTTATGTTTAGAAACAGGAAGATTACTATCTCCTGAACGTTGTATTTAGCTTTTTGAATGATATATCACAGCATATACTTCCCAAAGTGGAAAATACAGAACAAAACTTAATTGGATATGATTTAATTTAATTAAACTTAAAATATTATAGTTAAACTTCTAACTCACCATATATTTAATATCTTTTTCCTTCCTTTCCACATGAAAAAAGACAAGGTAATGGTAACTTGATAGACAATATTTATACATATTCCTGTCTTAAAGAATTTGTTTGTGGGTTATCTTGGATCCATCCTAGTGCTAGAGGTTGAGACATTTTCACTATACTAGGCAACAAGTTAGCTGTGATCATTCTATCCAAAATCCAATCAAGGATCCTACAAGAAGTAGAAAGGGTGGAGGTAATTTAGTCTTTTTTTTTTTACCCTACTGTTGCATTTCCTCTATCAATGTTCTAGTATCAGAAGATGTACCAATCATTGTGCAGTGGTATTTACTTTCTATCTTCTGCAAACAGAAGTGGATCTCAATTCACAATATGTTCCTGTCATTACAAATAACCCTAAATCTCAGCCAGCAAATCCCTTTTACAAAGCAAGATGTTTCAAGAATGTGAAAAAGCTTTTTTTTAAAAAAAAAAAAAAAACAACAACAGTTGAACATGAAATAATAGATTACTACATGAGTATCTCAATAGTAAGCTCCAAACTGAAGTAGCTGCAATTTAGGAAAAAGAAATATGGACAATTGAATAATATATTCATTTGATTATTTATATCAGAGATGCTATCCAGGAAGACCTTGTCATTACAGATATCAAATTCTAAAGAGCCACGGAGTTTACAAATATTGAGAGAAGTTCATGGAAAATTATATATGGTTTGACTAATGCATACCAAACAGTTATGATTTCTGGTCTGCATTATTTACCAAGTTGTTGGCAAAACATATTGATTTTGATCAATAAATATGTAGCTACAGTACTTTTAGAGCTAAAAATAATTAAAACAGCATTTCAATATGCTACTGAATACATGTTATTAATGGAGCTTAATGATATAACTGAAATTTAACCGTATTGGACTATTCCCATTGGCTAGGAATTCTTTCCATCTGCAAGAATTAGTGCCTCTAGGTTATAGGAACTGCCAACCATAATTACTCAGATATATTTGCATGCAGTTTACCCCCCCCCCACAGCATTGAATAATGGCCAAAAATATAAGACTCTAAAATTGACTAAGATAGAAAAGGAAGATAGGTCATAATTAATGATAGTCTTAAGGCCTATTTTCCCTTATTTAGTTAGTTATTTTCTCAATATGTACACTATGTTAATTGCTGTAAACAGTGCTGGTGATCACTGAAATGTTCTTGTGAACCCTACTTCACACAATCGTAGAAACATGTATAAATTCTTTACAAAATTGCACTAAAATTGCCACTGAAAAAGAGCTATTTAACTGTTGAAATATTGTTATGTGATGGATAAGTTTGGTTTATGGCAGAATCTACAGTTTTTTTAAGCATCAACATAAAATTGTTCAGAATTGTGTGACTATCCTTTGTTGATACCCAAACCAATTACTCTTCATTATTTTTCTTTAACAATTACAAAAGTATCATGCTAGTCCACAGTATGTATGTATGTATGTATGTGTGTATATATATATATATATATCAAAGGATATATATATATATATATACACATACACATACACATTGGAAAAAAAAACAAGAAAGTTAAAAAAAAAAGTCTATGCTGGCAAAATGCAGTATATTATTTGTGAAATGTGCAGTAAATATTTCTTATTGCCTGTCTCTTTTAAAAGCTGTACTTATAAAGGCTAGGAATGCAAAATTTATTTTCAGACTACGAATGATGTGTTGGTAATGTTTCTCTAAAGACAGTTTTATTTTAAGTACATAAAATGAAGCAGAAACACGTAATTATGAATTGTAATCATGGACTATATGGGAGAATAATAATCTGTCTAAGGAAAAAGGCCCCTTTCTGTTCTGCTCCAACTCTAAAACCATCCTTTGATGAAAGTGAACCAGTATGGATGGTAGGAAAACATATTTCATTAAATCTTTCCATCAGTTTAGACAAACTTATTTTATTTCAAACATTTCTACTCATGTGTTCAAACCACCATGTAAAAATGCATCAGATAAAGGAGTGGTATTCATTGATATTGCCTTTCATAGCTTATTGGTCAAAACATCACATTATGCTGTGTTTACTAATGATGGCTCTAAGGATTTTTCCATGACCTTTTTTTCCTGGACTGGATCTATTTTTCAGTTCTGTTTTCTTAGCCAGGAATTGTAACCATGCAGTTGATCCAGTCTGAGAAATGCATTTCAGATTCTGACAAAGCAGCTTGCCTTTTAAAGCACTGTTTGGCTGGCTTGCAGTTACTTGTGCACATATGGAGAAAATATTACCTTGTAAGATTTTGCAAAATCAAATTCAGCCCTTCATGCAACACCTACTTAAAAAAACACCTTGGAATTGATTTTTATACCCATTTACTTTAAAAAAAAGTTTGAGAAACCTTCAAAATGACTCTATGAATTCATAATTTCCATTCTGTCATGGAACAGATAAGTTGCTTCTCATTTTCTGTTTCTTCTGTTCAAACAGAACTTTTCTGTAAGACTAGGGAAAGCAGAAAGTGAAGTTTTAAATCATTGGTTTAAAAGCCATTGTAGTGGCAGGGATAACAATGGTAGAAATCCTATGTGTCCCATTTTCTTGTCCTACAAATTATATGTGTATGTGTATGTGTGTGTATTTATTTATTTAATATAATATTAAATAATTTAATATAGTATTATTAATTTAATAAATAGTATTACATACTATATATAATATAGTAGCCTACCCTACAGCATCAATTTTTCTGATTATATTCATATTATATTCTTGCATTAAACAAATAGGCAATCAAAACCAGATATAAAGCATACTGTGAATAGAATGTATAACATTAACATTTAGCAAATTGGATCTAGTCCTATTTTAACAGCATTGATGACAATCACAGTCAGTTCAGAGTAACATTATCTTACAGTTATACAGTAAATTTCCTATATGCTTTTCACTTTGTCACAAACATAAAATAAAAAGTGCCATTATATCTCAACCTAAGTAGAGATATGTAGCAGAATATTAATGTTTAAACTTTAAAAATGTTAGGAATTTTGTTATGGGTCCATAATAATAGCTAATTGTACTTGCAACCCATTGAACACAATGGAAAATATTAGTTATGACAAATTCCATTGATTTCAATGAAAACTAATAATTATTCAAAGTCATTTCAACCAGTTTAATAATTCAGTAATAAAGAAAAGTAAATAACTTGGTCCACAAGATGAGATGCTTGTCAAAATAACAAATGTAAATTTGTGCTGTTGTGATACCAGCTCAGCCCTTTCATACATTTATGTATTTATATATTTATTTATTGTATTAATCAAATGTATATAGATGTGGCTCTAGGCAGTGCACAAGAGATAAAACAGAATATAAAAACATCAATTATAAATACAAAAACCATACTAATAAATATCATAAAAAACACAAACCATAGATGAAGGGCAGGGTGGTGGGTGGGGGTGGGGAAGAAGCCAGCTTCCATTATAGATATCTCTGATTCTATTCGAGCCCCAGGCCTGGCCTGGGGACCTTTTGGAATATCAAGAGGGATGGGGCCAGTTTACTTTCTGGGGAAAGAATATTCCATGAGGTAGACACGACAGCAGAGAAAGCATTTTTCTGGGATCCAGTAAATGCAGATCCCTAGTCAATGGTACCCATAGCATGATTTCTCTGTGAGATCTAATGTGTCAGGTTGATGTAAGCTGTTAGACGTGGTACCTCAGATAGCCTGATCCCATGCAATGAAGAGTTTTAAAGGTAAAATCAGTGCCTTGAATTGGACCCAGAAGCAAACTGGGCAATTAATGCAGCTCATGTAGCAGAAGTGCAACATGTGCTATTTAGGAGTGCACATAACTGCTCATGCTGCTGCTTTCTATACTAGCTAAAACTTCTCAAGGTCAGTCCCATACAGAGCTCTTTGCAGAAATCCAATGTAGAGGTGATTAGGGCATGAGTGACTGTAAACAGGGTCTGCCAATCCAGGAATGGGCACAACTGGCGCACAAAATGAACTTTGTAGACACTGTAGAGGTTCTCCTAGCCCAGGGATAGGCAACCCAAAACACTCAAAGAGCCACTTGGACCCGTTTCCCACTAAAAACAAAACACCGGGAGCCGCAAAACCTTTTTGATATCTAAAATGAAGATAACACTGCATATATCCTTTTTTACCTTTATTATAGGGTGTGTGTGTGTGTGTGTGTGTGTACATACGCACACACACACACACACACACACACATACATACATACACACACAGGTAAAAAAGGATATATGCAGTGTTATCTTCATTTTAGATGTCAAAAGGGTCTCTTTCTCTCTCTCTCCCTCCATCTCTCTCTATCTGCTCTTGGTCTGTCAGGCTTTCTTCCCCCACTCTCTTTCTTTCTCTCTCTCTCTCTTTCCTCTCTCTCTCTCTCCCCCTCCCTCTCTCACTTTCTCTCCCCCCCTCTCTCCCCTATCTGCTGCTCACCTGGCAAGCTGGCTTCAAGCTGGTCTCTAACAAGTTCAGGGCAGGCAACCTCGGCTCTTTTATGATCATGGACTTCAACTCCCAGAATTCCTGAGTCAGCATAGCTGGGCTAGCTAGCTCTCTCCTGCCCTTCCTGCTTCCTGCTTCCTGAAGAGATGCAGCAAAGGGAGGAGTTCTGCCCAATAAGCTTTTCAGCTCCTCGGAGAACACTGTGAGTGCACTCTCTTTTACACACACACACACACACACACACACACCAAACACACACACACAGAGAGACAGAGAGAGAGAAGCAGGGAAGCGTAATTGCCTCTCTCTGTCTGTTTCTGCAAATGGCAGAGGAGGCTGGGAGCCACAGGGGAAGGAGCATGCGGCTCTGGAGCCACAGGTTGCCGACCTGTGTCCTAGCCATTATTGCCACCTATTCATTCAGCAGGAGTCTAGGAGGACCCCCAGATTGTGCACTGGGTCTGTCTGGCAAAGTGAAATACCATCCAGCACCAAAGATGGCATGCTCCTGGAATATTAGTGGGCCCCTGAAACTTATTTAATATGGTTAAGATTTAACTGAAGCCTGCTGTTCCCTATCCAGTTATCAGGATAAGACATTCATGGCATTGCTTAATTTGACAGGAATAGAGACATACGATTGGGTATCATCAGCATGGTGATGGATAGTTCACCCAGCAGCTTCATGTGGAAAAGATAATCAAACAACGAATCAGCGAACACCTAGAGGCAAACAAAGTCATTACTAAAAGCCAACATGGGTTTGTCAAAAACAGATCATGCCAGACAAATCTTATTGCATTCTTTGACCAAATGACAAAATTAGTGGATCAGAGGAATGCTGTGGATATAATTTACTTGGACTTCAGTAAGGCATTTGATAAAGTAGATCACAACCTGCTCCTCGATAAGATAGAAAAATGTGGGTTAGACAGCATCACTACCAGATGGATTTGTAGCTGGCTGACTGTCTGTACTCAGCATGTGGTCCTCAATGGAACCGCATCTACATGGAGGGAAATGTGTAGTGGGGTGCCTCAGGGCTCTGTTCTGGGCCCAGTGCTCTTCAACATCTTCATCAATGGTTTGGAGGAGGGGATAGATGGGGAAATCATCAAATTTGCAGATGACACCAAGCTGGCAGAAATAGCCAACACTCCAGAAGACAGGCTTAAGATACAGGAGGATCTGGACAGACTTGAACACTGGGCACTATCTAACAAAATGAAATTCAGTGGTGAAAAAAAAAAGTTTCTACATTTAGGCAAGAAAATCCAAATGTACAGGTATAGTATAGGGGCTACCTTGCTCAATAGTAGTAACTGTGAGAGGGACTTCAGAGTCCTAGTGTACAATCACTTAAATATGAGCCAGCAGTGTGCTGCAGCTGCCAAAAAGGCCAACACAGTTCTGGGCTGCATTAACAGAGGGATAGAATCAAGATCACGTGAAGTATTAATACCACTTTACAATGCCTTGGTAAGGCCGCACTTGGAATACTGCATCCAGTTTTGGTCACCATGATGTAAAAAAGATGTTGAGACTCTAGAAAGAGTGCAGAGAAGAGCAACAGAGATGATTAGAGGTCTGGAGGCTAAAACATATAAGGAACGGTTGCTAGAATTGGGTATGTCTAGTGTAACGAAGAGAAGGACGAAGGGGGGACTTGATAGCAGTGTTCTAATATCTCAGGGGCTGACACAAAGAAGAGGGAGTCAAGCTATTTTCAAAGCACCTGAAGGCAGAACAAGAAGCAACGGATGGAGAGAAGCAACCTAGGACTAAGGAGAAACTTCCTGACAGTTAGAACAATTAACCAGTGGAACAACCTGCCTCCAGAAGTGGTGAATGCTCCAACAATGGAAGTTTTTAAGAGGAGACTGGCCAGCCATTTGTCCGAAATGGTATAGGGTTGCCTGAGCAGGGGGTTGGACAAGGTAACCTCCAAGGTCCCTTCCAACTTTATTATTATTATTATTATTATTATTATTATTATTATTATTATTATTATTATTATTATTATTATGGATCATCGCACAGTCAGCCAGATGTTCAGACTGGATTTGGCATTTTGTCTACCTATCGAGTCCTTACCCAGGACCTGGGATAGGCAGATGTGGATGTTTGATGGTATTACAGATATCGTCGCAGGATGGAAGCAGTTCCTAGTAAGGCCGCCTTTTGCAATTGACTAATAGCGAATTTGTCAATGCCAATGGTGTTCAAGTGGTGCTCCAGTTGTTTTGGGATTGCACCCAAGGAGCCTATGACTATTGGTACTACCCTTGCTTGCTTTTGCCACAGTCTTTCTATTTCTATTTGTAGGTCTTTGTATTTTGTTATCTTCTCCAGTTCTTTCTCTTCTATTCTGCTATCTCCAGGCACTGCCACGTCCACTATCCAGACTTTTTTGTCTTTCTTATCGACAATTGTTAAGTCTGGGGTGTTATGTTGCAGGTGCTTGTCTGTTTGAATTCTGAAGTCCCAGAGCAGTTTAATTTTATCATTTTCTATGACTTTCTCTATTTTATGATCCCACCAGTTTTTGCTTACAGGCAAATGATATTTTTTGCAGATCTTCCAATGCACCATTGTTGCTACTTTGTCATGCCGCTGCTTGTAATCAGTTTGTGCAATCTTCTTGCAACAGCTTACCAAGTGGTCCACTGTTTCTTCAGCTTCTTTGCATAGGCGGCACTTACTGTCTGTTGCTGTCTTCTCAATTTTGACTTTGTATGCATTTGTCCTTAAGGCTTGGTCTTATTATTATTATTATTAATAATAATAATAATAATAATAATAATAATAAAGCAATCTATTTGTTGGATTTTTTTCTTACTCAGAAGATAATCTGAAGTATTGGAAAATAATGAAGAAACCTATGTAATGTTAGTAAATATGTAAGTAGCAAAGGGGGGAAAATGAAATGTGGAATTTTATTTGTCATGGGAGTATAATGACCAAAATTAAATGTTCCACTTAAATTATGGAGAGTTATAAGATTTTGTTCAGTTACAAGTAGATTTAATCCTTGGTTATAGCTGTGCCATGTATCTCAAGAACACCAAATTGGAGTAAATCATCCATTTTTTATAAGAGAAACAGCGAATTAGTAAAATTGAGTTTTATTCTTATAATATTCAGTGTGATTGTTGTCTTAAAGTATTAAAATAATAGAATCATGTTTCCCTAATAGAGTTTACGCTGTTATGAATTTAGTGCTTGTCATCATTGTGAAGTGATATTATCAGGAATTTCAAAAACATGCCTGCTTGTAGACAAAGGATAACTTATATTTAGGAAGAAAAGAGGATTTTTACCCAAGCCAGATTGGACATTGAAAAGCACCAACATCCTGAAGAATTCTGTTCTAAACTACACACACAAACACACACATGCATCTGTTTTTCTTTCATTCATTTCTTTAATGTATGATTTTCCCCATTTATCCCTCTTACTTTGAAATATCAGTGTTTTTCACTGATCTCTACTGTCTATTGTAACATTACTACAATTTATTAGTAAGAATAGAGTACAGAGAAGGTACAGAGAGGTGGTTAATTTTAGGCACATACATGTCTCATGCAGCTTCACATGCTAATTATAAGGCCAGAATTTATCAGTTTGGGCACATTTTGGATGGCATGCCACAAGCGCAACTGTAGAACAAGTATACCTTAAAACAGAACTTGAGAATGGGAAAAATATAAATCTTGAAATATTAATATTACAGTCCATATAAATACATGGTGTTGACATCTGAATACTACAGACAGCTAAGATTAAAGAAACTCTTCTGAAGAATCAAAGGGGAGACAAGCTGTCCTGTGACAGCACTCTGATTGCTGGTATGCATGTCTGCTATAGAAACTGCAAAGCCAGGCTTGCATCAAAGTGAAGAATCTGCTATGATTACTCTTTAAATTATACATGTCCTTTCAACTTCAGTGATTTTTTTAAAAATGTGCTTATAGATGGTCTGTTAAAAACACACTAATATAGGCCAATGAAGTGTGTTGATGAAATACATTCCCAAGTAGCTTCAATTAATCAAATGATCTTAATGTGTAAACTTATATGTATGGCACCACCAGAGATTTAAAGATGCTGAAAGACAGATTAAAAGAGAACAAACTTTCTTAAATCATATAATGGTCCCTCTAATGGGCCTAAAATGTGAGGACATAAAGGATGCTTACACAAAATAAATTTGATTCATTTTATAGTGCTACACTGTTCCATACATACATTAAAGTAGTAATGTCCTATCTCATTAAGAAAATGTTCAAACAATATTTTACCACGCATTTGATCATTTAAGAAGAGCAGAAGACTTCAGAGTTACAAAAGGAGTGGCTTTTTAAAATGTACATTTAACAGGCAGAAGTAATCAGCAATAATGACTGCAAAATTGCAGTAGTACTTTATGAGCTAAAGTTATTTAAATAATTGGATTTCTTATAGAAATGTTAATGTGCACTGAATTAAGTGTTAAATGAACAAGAAACTTGTCTTTCCCACAATAATTGTAATTGACTATGTTTGAAACAAAATTTTGAAAAATATCAACGCTTTGTTTATTCCAAGATGGAGAAAAACTCTCACTCATATCCAAACTTACTTGTAATGAATCATGTAGGAAACTCCAGCAAATGGGACACATTAAACACTTGCCTTCAAGTATGCATTCTTACTAGGTGTTCCATATAAAATCATTTAAGGTTGGGAACTGTTCAATAATTTAGCCACGTCTATAATACAATCTATCTCAAATCAACTACTGTGGAGTAGTACCAGTGGTGTAGACCAGAAGCCCCCAACCTTTTGAGCACCAGGAACCGGTTCTGTGGAGAGAGGTTTTTCCACAGACAGGGAAAGCGCATACTGCCTGCATCCCATGGATGGGGCTTCATTTGTTTGCATGGCCCGGTTTATAGCATGCTGCGGCCTGGTGCCGGTCCACAGACCCCTGGAATAGATTGTTGTACAACATCATTAGCAAGGGTATTTTCTCTGCATTCTTCTAATGTGATTAGCTTTACAAGTGAATTAGGCAGTTGATAAAGGAGAAAGTTATTAACAGATATTAATCCTGATAACTATATGCTACCTTTCTTCCCATTCTGATGTATGCATTATTATTTTTTCCAGACATGCAACTATTTCAAAGAATAATCTCAATGCATATTGCTTGCTGGGACT